TCAGCCAGGGACGGCAGGTGCCTGTAGTCCCAGCTACTGAGCAGGCTGGTGCAGAAGAATCGTTTGAACCCAGGAGTTTGAGGTTGCTGAGAGCTATGACAATGCCCTTGTACTCTACCCTGGGCAACAGAGTTAAGACTCTGTCTCAAAAAATAAATAACATAAAGGTAAGTCTATTCTGGATCTACGTCTCTTGACCCATGGACTAGCCACAAGAGCACCTTTAAATGTTCCAGGAAATGTGGGCCTGTCCTTTTTAGTGTTGGACACACCTCAGTGTCGCTCCACATTTCTCTGGCTGTCACTCAATGAGGGAACATGAGGAGACAATTTATCTGTGCCCACTGGCCTCCTCTGTCAAATGGGTTACTGCAACAAAGAACTTCCTTAAGTAACCACTTAAGAAAGTCAGTTGCAATTGTAAAAAATTGGAGTTTGAATCCCAGCTCTGTCACTTACTGTGATGTAGGACATACTTCATGTTTCTGAGAGCATTTCCTTGGGTGTAAATGGAGATTATAATCCTTGTCTGGTTGGGTTCGGGGCGGGGAGCTGCACAGAGCCGCCAGTGCTGTTGGCTCAGCTCTGCAAAGCAGCACTGTTCCCCACGTGGACTGAGGGCCCTGCCACTGCAGGGGATCCTTAGCCCTTAGTGACAATGAACAAAAGGAGAATCCACTGATCCCCTAGGAACATTTGTTAACCTCTCATTTCCCATCATGGGCCAAGGACTGAGCCTACCGCTGGACAGCACTCATTCTGGGGACATTTATGAAGCCTCTCCAGTCCCCAATATCCACCCCATGCACCTCTCTCCCTCTCATTATTGCTTCCCCAATGCTGCTGCCACTTCTACAGCCACTGGCCTTGTTCCCTGCCCTGCTGGATAGCAGATCCTGTGCCACGTGGTGGGAGCACACTCACCCCTACTTCCAGCCTTGGCTACCGACCTGGCCAGTTGCAATAGTCTTCTTGCTTCTACTTTTGCCCCTCACACTTTTTTTTCTGCAATCCTTTCAAAACAGTCATCAGATAACATCCTGTTAAAAAGTCTCAAGTCCTGCATGCCAGCCCCACCGGCCTTCACGTACCTCAAGGGTGTTGCTCATTCACCAACTTCAGACCCCATGGTCCTTCTGCCTGGGATATGCTCTCCTCGCCCCTTCATTTCTGGTTTTCCTCCACATCTTCAGGCATCACTGTCTGAAATTGTCTTACGTGCTTATTTTATATTCCCCAGGTGAGTAATTCTCTCCTGAGCTCGGCACCCAGTGAGCCCTAGGGATTTTGCTGCTTTAATGCCTGCACATGTAAGTCATTTGCCCCACAATATAGGTATTAGCTTTACAATGCATATAAGGAAACTGAGGAAGGAGAAATCTCAGTCACGTTGAAAATATTGATCGAATTATTGCCAGCTTCTGTGGCCCTTCGAGTCCCTAGAAAATAAGGTTGTATTATACCAAGACGTATTATAATATAAAGATGTGCCAAAGATCCAATATCTCATTTCTTAGCAGTGGAAAGAACATAAGCTTTGGAGTCAGGTAAAAGTACCTCTTGCTACCTGTGATATTCTGGTCAAGTTCCCTCCTTTGGGAGGCCAGTTTCTTATCTATAAAATGGGACAAGACCTAACTTGGAGTTGTTTTCAATCCAGTAAGAAAACTCCTGGCACACTGCCCAACTGGCAATTATGCAGGCAATATTTATTCTCTCCACTAGTCACGGCTCCCCAGGAAGGGAAGTTTTCACTTATTCTTGGTCCCTGTCATCGGCATGGCACTCAGGTGGGAGCTGGAACAAAAAACATGGTCCTGGTCCCATTAGGATGTTCACTCCGTAAGAACAGGCACTGCAAGTATCATCTCTGATCACAATGGAAGGAAGCTAGAAACTGGTAATGAATGGAAAACTCCCAAGTATGTGGAAAGTAAACAGATTCTTAAACATTAAAAGATTCTTAAACAATCAAGGGGTCAAAGAAGAAATTACAAGGGAAATTAGAAAATACTTTGAGATGAAGGAAAACAAAAACACAAAACACGGGAACTTACGGTGTGTGGCAAAACCAGGGTGCAGAGGGAAATTTATAGCTGTAAAGGTCTACGTGAAGAAGTACGGGAGGGAGTATGTTAATTAGCGTGGAGGTAAGAATTATCGCACAGCGTACATCAAACCTCAAAACAGCACGTTGTACACTTTAATATAGAGAGGGTACCAGAAAATGTATACACATTTTAAGGAAAATATTATATTAAATTTGTAATTACTCAGGTCACATCTGACTTCTGCAATTACAAGAGGTGCTCACCTTGACTTGTATTCGCCTTTTATTATCAGTATACCTCGAATATGACAAATTTAATAGTCTTCTCCGTTCTTAAAATGTGTAGGGCACCTTCTGTATTTATTATACCCCCGCCCCCACACACACACACATCTTTTAGGAAAAGAAACTGAGGCTGAGCAAGGTTAAGAGCTAGCTGCTGGCACTCTGCATAAGCAGGTTTCCTGCGCCTTAAAACAGGCTTATCAAACTTTTGTCATTCAGGAGCCACTTTAACATTTTTGCTCTATCTACTTACTGCTTGTGGTACAAATCAATTTAATTTTTTACCTACATGTAAGTTTATTTATTTTGAGACAGAGTCTCACTATATCGCCCTCAGTAGAGTGCCATGGCGTCACAGCTCACAGCAACCTCAAACTCTCGGGCTCAAGGGATCCTCTTGCCTCAGCCTCCCAAGTAGCTGGGACTACAGGC